CTTTAAGGAAATTTGTCAACCGACTTGCACATTGATCATATATAGATGTTGCCATTTATGTCCGAATCAATATGTTATATCTCTAATAAAAATCACTACATAAACAGTGAGATGAAAATATAGCATCTATTTTTTTTTTTTTGTAAACATACATTATATTAGAGTTAAATTTAGATGGTGACATTAATGATACTAGCACAAATTATTATGTTAATGTTTTGTTCACATATAATTTATTTTATACATGTACTCAAATTACTTTTTATACTAAAAAATACTAAGTAACAACATATCTGTGTTGCTAAAAAATCTTTTGTTTTTGTTGTTTAATGCTTTTTCCAATGACGACAAATTTTCTGATGCGTTAGTGATCGGTTTAATATTTTCAAATGTAACGCCAATTTAAAACACAAATGTTTGTTAGAATCTGCTAATAATTACTTTTAGAATTGTATAAAATCGAATAATAGAATCGAAATAAAATATTACTCGTGGCGGTTCAGAAAATAGATTCTTTTATAAGTATATATACGTTACAGTTCAGTTTTTAAAAAGATGTATAAATTAATAATTTATTTTTTGTTAGATTGTTAGAAAAATAGGAAAACAGATTCTCATTTTGAAAAAAACAAAACTAAAAAGTCTCACACTATTTGTCATCCTTGATTTCTTAAAGAAAAAAAGGCTGTTTACACAACTTTCGTTAATGTTTTACTTGATTTATAAGTAATTGAAGACAATATAGGTGAAGGGTGAAATGAACATAGACATGAAAGACTATATTTGCTTAATAAATTAATTAGCATACATTCAAAGTTGGTTTACCATATAAGAAATCACTTATATATCAATTATAGTGTGTGCATGATCTTTCAAAAAGAAATTAAATATTGTTTTACGTAAAAAGTTAAGATACGATTCCACATTAACAATAAAATATTGAAGTCGATATCTATAACGAAGGAGACAGTCAAAGCATGTGACATCGATTATTCAACTCTATAATCTTCCAGACCATGTGGTCGTAATGGCTTTGATATTATCGTTTTCGTTATAGTTTGTATTATAATGTTCTCAAGTCTTCTTATAAATTTTTTTAAAAAGTTTTGTTAAAAAATCAAGTCTATTGGTTCTACACATCTATTGTAGATTTTTGTATAATACTAGAAATAGTGAGTTTGTTTGGCAATAGCGAAAAAAATTACTTTTTGTTTATCAAGGTTGTATGTTTAAGGATTGCTAAACATAATAGCAAAAAAAAAAAAGATTGCTAAACATATATACATTGGAAAATTAGCATCAATCCCCATTCTTTATTGCCACTCAAATTTAAACAACAAACTTGTATATAACCTCTTCGGAATGACCAACTAAGCCCATAATTTAGTTTTGTAAAGGCTTTCGACGTTGTAGATTATAGAGCCCATGAAATGATAAATTATTTATGGACTTGTCTAGGTTATAACTTATATCCATCTCACAAAAAAGGCCAAAACAAAAATGTTTATGTCACAGATAAACATAACTACGCTGCTACGCAGGTTTCCAATCTCAAAAAGAAATTAGCCCTGGCTAAATTCTACCAAGTTTGGTCCAAATACAAAAGTCATAACTCACAAACCTAAAATGAGGACAATTTTGACGGCAAAAAAAGAGAGATAAATTGTCCTTTTTTTGTCGTGCCAAATTCTCTTTATTATCCTTTGGGACAATTTGCTAATTAACC